GGGTTAATTATCATCATGGATGCCAGTGAAAAGAAAAAAAGAATAGCAATTGCAATCTTATTAGTAATGAAATCTAAGAATGAGCAAACGCGCAGTCATCGACAGTCATGCTTCATTACTGCTTGAAGATTTTTGATTTTTGAAGATTTTGAAGATTTCGTTGCAATGAATTGTGGGATACTTCCCCAAGTGAGCGGCTCGGCTAGCGGGTTACTTCGGCCTCACCCGGGTAACGCAAAAATACCCTGTGACTACCAAATCGAACGTATTTGGGGCTGGCCCGAATAGACCCAGGTTAACTTGGGGAAGCGAATCGAACGCACTAAACATTCATTGACTCAACAGTGCTGACAACAGTGTCAACAATAACACACCTCATCATTATGAGGCACGTCACTTGTCAGTGGTCACTGACAACAACTTCAACTTCTTACACTTTCAAATCATGTAACCTTGAAATGCTAAGAAATATCTACGCATCTCACGCACTAGCCACTAGCTCTACCATGCTGTAGGCGGTACGGCTCAGGGTAGCCACGAGTTCCCTTCTCGCTTAACACTACGTTGGCGAGAGGCGAGTTCCTACGCCGTCTAATAGTCGTAGAGCCTGGTCGGTTTAGGCTCAGGGTAGCTCTACTCTAGTACTAGTACTAGTATTGAGTAGTACTATAGCCCGCGTACAGTTGCCGCAGGGCTATAGATCATTCTATTACGAATGATTGGGACCAACTTACTCCAGCCAGTCAGCGGGAACTATGTATTTCCGCACGTGGAGGGGTGGGCGGGTTGTGTTGGTTGTGGACAAAAACATTGTTGTTGTCAAGTAACAAATTAAGCAATCAAAAAAGATTGTAATATTAGTTTTGTCATGAAAGATGAACAAATTACTATTAAGTATTATTATACACAACCACAACCAACACAACTCGCCCACCCTTCCACGTGCGGAAATACATAGATCCCGCTGACTGGCGCCACCAAAAATGGCCGTTTGAAGTTCGTAAATAATGTTCGTTCACAAGAAATATTGCAAGTAGACCATTTCAACGATAGTTAGATGTTTAGTAGCTGATATAACTTAAGACATATATTCACTTCGGATAAGAGGCATTAATTGCCTACCACAGACGTTTTATAGCCGCGAGTAACCGTGAATAAGTTGTTCCCGAGCATTCGTAATAGAATGTTCTATAGCCCTGCAGCAACTGTACGCGGGTTATAGTACTAGAGCTAGGCTCAGGTATATTGTAAGTGACTAGCAATAAAAGACGTTTTTGGCCGATAGATGGCGCCACTATGCTATATACAGTAAGTGCTTATAGTGACGGAACATATATATATATATATAGCCATAAATTTCTAGGGCACAATTTATTGGTCTACACAAGTATGTGCAATCGCACACAATTATACACAATTAAAGAAGCTGACCGAGTATCACTCCGGAAATTTGTGATAGACTGAGATGGTGGAGGTGAACCATACAGATACAGGAGAGGGAGCTGTTGGGGAGGGGGGCAGTGAAAGCTGGAAGAATGAAAGTAGGGAGAAGGTAAAAGAAGAAAGAATAAAGTGCACAAATAAATATTGATAGGGAGACGTTAGAAGGGGAATGAAAGAATAAGGTAGATGACAGGATAAGGGTAGGGAAAAGGTGGAAGATGAAGGAAGAGGAGAAGGTGAACAAGGAAGGTTGGGAGGTGGAGTCACAAAGCAGATGCAGAAGGGGGTGGATAGATACAATAATGCAGCCCAACAGAGGGTTATATTATTGTACAGTATCTAGTGTGTGTTACATTATTGTATGTAGGGACCTGGGTGTGTTGCTTTATTGTAGCTAGTGCAGTAGTCAGAATGCAAATGAGAGAAGTGGGGAAAAAGTAGAGGAAGGAACAGGTGGAGCATTGGTAAGAAGAAGGTAGATTAGGATTGAGGAATAATGTAGGTGGATGAGGAAGAAGGGGGTGAAAACAAAGTGCTTGAGATTAGAAGGTGGAATGGAAAGTAATTACAAGCTTGTTAATTACCCTGTGGTACAAATAACAGGGTCGTTAATCAGTTCATCTGACATCGTTCATAGGAGAAGAAAAGATGTAACGTGTTCACATAAATATAATATCTGGGACTGGGGTTGGGTTTGGCTTGAAATATTTTTTTGTTTAAGAATACAATAAAACTCATAAGGAGGATTACAGAAAATTCAGTCACATAACTGAAAACACATATATATAACTTTATTTAGTCTTACTATAATGATTAGAAAATGTTTTCCATATGCTGCAAATGAGTGGTGGCCTACTAAATGGCTAGAAGTAATTTTTTTGTGAACGAAGCCATAATGTCTGCCATATGCATTTTTGTGTTTCAGTCTCGTTGGATTAAGAGTAATAAATGTATACGATGTTGATCACAAGACGTATCTCATCCGACTTGGAACGTACGTATATTCACCCGATTCAGCTCGGGGTTCTCCCCAGAAATTTCAAAAGGCATGGAATTTATGGACAGGGTCACAGGTGGGGTCAGGCCCGAGAACGGACTGTACAAATCGAAGGCAGGTTCACGGGTC